GATTAAGATGGTACCGTAACAATTGTCTACGTGAGTTCAAGCAATAATCTAGCTGATTCCTTGACAGAGGCTTTACCAAGAGACATGGTAAATATGACCTCACAAGAAACGGGGCTGAAACCCTTTAATTAAAATCACCAGTAATGGTAACCCGATCTTTTTCTAGAACATCACTAGTTATAAGGTTTAATGGGTAAAAACAAGTTACTGAAGTGATTGTATGATACTGACATGAGCCCGGACATGAGAAGTTAGTATCGTCTGTTACGTTTGTAGGTTGAATTAAATTCTTAATGAAGTATGGTTCAAATGTGTTATTAGTAACAGAAACACATGAAAGATACTTCACCTATATGAGCTTAGAAGTGGTGCCGCTTCTTACGAAAGTTGGAGTTGCTTTCTAGAGAGCTCATGAAATAGGTACTAGCATAGGGCCATAATAGTGCTGAGTAATATAGAACTTCTCGCTGAAACAAGAGGTTATTATATGTGTGGTATATCCAATTCTATTATTTAAAAGTACAAGTTTAAAATCGAGCTACTTGTCACTTTGATAGAGTTTTGAGATACTTGCACTAAGTAAAGGTTTAACTCGAAAGAGACCTTTATGTATGTATATTAATCTCACGGAAATTTTGGCTGTATATTTTTAACGTTTTATTTCGATTTTGTTTTACAAACAAAGTGGGGGATTGTTGGTAGTTTATTTGTAAAACAAACAAAGAGGTGCCTTGTCCCACACCGAAAGGATGTGAGTGTGCACGCGGACGAGATTTGGCACTAATCAACGATCATTTTTAATTATTTATTAAATTTCGAATTTATTAATATAAAATAACTGTTTTGTCATATTGAAACAATGTGACTGTTCGCAATAGAGTGGCGGTTATTTTTTAATAATTTAATTTCGAATTTATTATATTTTGCCTAACGGTTATTATGCACTTTTACAACCTTTGGAAGGTTGTGTCTATTCGGACGTAACTTCTTAACCTTTGGAAAGTTGTGTCTGTTCGTACATAACTTCTCCACATTCAAAAGGTTGTGTTTGTTCAACGTATAAATTTTTTCAACGATTTTGTTCATTAAGAACAACAATTTCTCATTTCTTCCAAGAGATGTATAGCCATCTTTTCTAATTGTTTCCCTTGAGAGACCCTGGAGAAATACCGGAATTGCTATATGATATTCTCATTGAGACTTTGTTGTATCTTGGAGGATTTTTGCCAGTAACCATTAACAACATTGTGGGGTAAATAATTCCTTAAAGAAAGTGATATCACGCCTCAAAGTCTGACTTCATTGTTCTTCCCGATTCACGTTGATATTTTCCCAACATCTCTAACGTCCTCCTTCAAACTCAAGGTGACTAAGTCAGCTTGAGTTTGAAATCAAGGCGGCATTTGGCAACTATTTGTGGTGAAACTTCCAAATCTAATTGGTACGAGGGTGACGAATCTTTGGCTCCTCAAAATGACGCGCAAAAGGTTGAGAATCGGAGGGGGAAGTAGCAAGCGGCTAGCTTACAAAACAGTAACTGAGTGAGCGTTCTATATAATTGGCGTTGTAGCATCAAGTGGCCCATATGGCTGGCTTGAAAAATAGTTATTAGGATGCGGTATGTGCGGCTGGCATCGAAAGAAAGCTGCTTTGGTGCAAAAGGTTCGACTAGGTGACGTGGTCAATAAGATTAGTGTGGAACATGACTATTATGGAATTAACTTGATTAAGTACTTCCTCAGATGAGATTTGTGCGCATGAAGTGAACAATGTTGATCGATGATATATTTATTTGGATGGAATGCATGGGGTGCACCCGGTGCGATGTGCACCCGATGCATTAAGGTTTCCTCAAGAACAGTGGCTATGATATTAAGTGAAATTTTGTCTAGAGCTCTTCCACACGTGCTCTCTCTTGCCGACCCTCCTAGCAACAACTCCATCCTCATCACTGGCAGGAACGGAGCAGAGCAGTGAAGTGGGAGAGATAAAGTCAGATGTGGGCCTAAGTGCCCATTATCTTTTCATCGAGAGGGATCCCTGTGAAAAAGGATATGGAAAATAAATGCATAAGTGTGCAGTTCGATTACGAAGTGAAAGGTCCAAACTCTACCACAAATTATGAAGATGGAAAAGGAAACTCACTAGCCAAAAGATGACAGCAATTTTCTTACTTTATTGTAACAAACAAATCAAAAGTAATAATATTCACATAATAAATAATATATGAAGAATTCAGTTGCGAGTGGATATTATTCTCCGACTAAAGAAAAAGATTAATTAGATGTTGTTCCCAAGGAAATGAAACTTAATAAATAAAAAATGCATAATCGAAATTGTTGGTCTTGATTTTAGGTCATCGGAGAGTCCATCTAGAGCAATTTGATTAGTTGCAAAGCCAACATTTCAAGTGTTTTTCATCTTTAAAATTTAACGGATCTTTATAATGACATTAACGATTTCTTCTTAATTAGTGATAATAATTTTCTCTATGTGATTATCTATATTTTGATATTTACTTTATTTTTTCTTTCTTCATATTCAAGAAGAATCACTTAACGGGATTTAGGATTAGAGGATTTAATTAGTTAGGATTTAATTGTGTCATGCTCGCTATAGTGGAAAGAACAGCAGGCCCTCTTCTGATTTTGTCTCTAGCGCTCCGTTTGTTTTGCGGAAATTTTTTTCGAAAAAAAGGTTTTCCGAATTTTCCGGTGTACCAAGAAAAAGATTTTCCGGTCATTCTCTTTAACTGGAAGAAAACTCTTCTAAAATAGAGGAAAATGATTTCTACTTCTTGAAAAACGAAAGTCATTTTCCATGACCGATTTGTCTCTCTTTGTTCTCTTTATCTTCACATCTCAGGCTCCATCTCCATCACCCTTTCGACACTCTCGAGCGCCCCCAATTCTAGCCCTAATCCCATCAGTCCTTTGAAACTGTTGGAAGATCGGACGGGGTGTCGAACTCTAGAATATACAAACCAAAAAGAATTCTTAAAAACATACCCCAAAAGAATAGTATAGTAATCATATATTTGACATCGCAAACTTTAACTTATGCACACTAATATTAAAAAAGGAACACCTATGCATATAAAAGAAAATAGATTAAAAGATTGATGAAGAAAGAAAAATTGTGATCCAAGTTAATAGTTAAATTTAAATTGTTATTGGACGAGAAAGATACAATTTCGAATTTAAATAATATAATAATATACAAGTATTAATCTCATAGTAGACATAATTGAATTGGTCATGGTATTCACCGCCCATGCTGAGGTTCCTAGTGATTGGGTCTGAAAAACCTCGGCTCGTGCAACCATGACCCGGGAACCTGGGCTTGGGAACCCCGTTGGTTAGGCCCAAGTCCTCGGGGCCGGGGCCTAGTCCCCGTCACTTGAGCTAGGGTCTTCAACACTCAAAAAGTCTTACCAAATGATAGGAAATATTTTTTAATTCATTTTCATATTACAGTCAAACACCGAAAAATATTGCCATTTACCTGGAAAATAACTCACTAGAAAATATTTTCCAGAATTGTCAAATTTTCTGTGAAATAAATGGGGCCTAAATTTGAACTTGCAAAAGAAATCATAAAAGTAAAAAAAAAACCACAACAAAAGGGAAACATAGAAGTAAAAAATTGCGACCAATTCAAGAAATCATTAGTTCGCGTTTCATCGTCATTCTTCAAACCCACCGTTATGCTAACTGCTTCGAAAGTAGAAGAAGGCACGTTGGACACATGCGATGCATCACATCTTGGGCTTTGTTAGTATAATAGTCTTTAGGCCATTGTGCTGTAACGTGAGTTATAAATTTTTAAAGGAGTAAACCCCACAAAAATTTATAGTTATTTATTATTTATTTTTTGTTGTTGAGAAATATGTTAAAATATATCTCGAGTTTGAACTCGATAGACGAAACTCGATCTGAGATTAATCATTATTTGTGGAGGTATGAATATTTCGAAGTTTGGATTTCCTATGCAAGTTCGGAATCGTGCATTCAGTATATGGCAATTTTCGTTTACTAGTTGTCGGCGATTTTATTTTCAATTGGTAGTCTAAAGATGTTGGACTTTGACTATGAAAAAAAGCAAATCGTGGATTTGTATCAGAAATAAAATCCTACTTGAAGTCTGACAAAGAAAGACACAATAGGAAAGTCCAAACTTGGACCTGTTGACTGAATTTTGTGGAATATCGTTGAAGTCGGCCGCTTTAATTTTTCCTTGGGCTATATAAGGGCCGTTCTTTTGCCGCAAGATTGGCACGCAGTTGTTGATGAATACGTGAAGTTATTCTTGAAGCGCCGCTTGTGTGCGAGTGCTTGGCGGTGGGCAATCTTTCTAATTTTGTTCGTGAAATTATATCAAGAGTTCAAGTATTTGTAGCGATTAAATCTTGTGGAAAGATTTGTGTATGATTTTTTCGCGAGATTGAGAGATTATTTCGTAAAAAATTATGGGGCTGAACACTGCATGAGTTATTGGGTATAATTGGGGCTTGAAAACAGTTAGAGTGTTTGAGTGTGGCTCCGTTGTATCGCTTGATCTACAGTGGAATTCGTTGCCGCTTTCCCCGTGGACGTATGTCACTATGATCGAATCTCGTAAATCTGATGTCTAATTTATTTTCTTGTTCTATCAATTTTATATTTCGATCGCTTAGCTTCCACGACAAAATAGATTACTCGCTCACTCAATTATTTCTCTAATATCTTTTGGTGCCACCATCTACTTGTCAAAGCTATCAGTCAACTCGAGAACAAGACGCATCAGGAAAGAGACGCGTTGGACCCATGCAACGTGCATGCGCCACATGGAGCAATTGGAGGAGGTCATCTGCTTGTGCCAGCATCTTCGCCTTTTACACCCAACTGTCAGCGAGACGACTCATCTTCTCGTTATGTATTCTCGATCAACATCCGTGACAATGCACGATTGTTTCTGTATGGCCCTCTCGCTCACTTGAGCTACGGAGGAAGAAGAAGAAGAAGAAGAAGCCGCAGGTTCGAGCTTCAACATGAGAACCATTGAGGATGCCGAGGACGAGAGCAACCTGAGGAAACCGTTCCTCCGCAGAGGGGTCTGGTACACAATGCAGGAGAAGGGATCGAGGGGGTCCAGCCTGTCCGGAGCAGCGCGGATCCTGCGCAGCGGCTCCGGCTCCGTCTCCGTCTCCGTTCTCCTCTGTGTCCTGATAGTCGCCTTAGGCCCAATCCAGTTCGGATTCGCTGTAAGCACACGAGTCCGCATAATGCATTTTGGTTATTGAATTTGTTGATTGTGTAAATCTTGTGCTGTTTTCGGGTTTCAGTGTGGATATTCATCTCCTACGGAGGACGACATAATAAGCGACCTAGGCCTTTCGCTCTCGCAGGTTCAACTTGCTTCAGGAACCGGAGTTTAATCTGTCCGTTTTGATTGTAAACTGATGCAATTTGTTCTTTGATTGTGGAATAATGCTGGATGTAGTATTCGATATTTGGCTCATTGGTGAATGTGGGAGCCATGATCGGGGCAATCTTGAGCGGCCATATGGCGGAGTACATCGGTCGGAAAGGGGTACGTCACTCATTTCGATCGGCTGCGGTTTTTGTAGGAGCTTCTTGTGTCATTTGTCTTGGTCAATTCTAAGCAATTGACCCCACCGAAACGAAAAAATTCCTGAGCAATCGCAGAATATCGACGGGTCATTTTTATTACCAAATGGCCATATTAAAGAAAAAATTGAAAATTTAAAAAGAATGAAGATGAAAAGATATAAAAAAGATACCCACTCATGGGTAGCTCAGTTGGTTAAGGCGTACTTGGGATTGTGTGGTTGGGCGCACTAGTCCCAAGTGTTCGATTCCCACTGGAAGACTTGTGATTTAAGTGGCCACATGGCGGTGGGTTCTTGTTGCTTAATCTCCCCCGAGGAATAGTCGATACAGTGTTCAAAGTGGCCCGGACTTCTTGGTTACCAAAAAAAAAAAAAATAAAAAAAAATAAAAAAGACGAGAATTAAAAAAATAAGGAAAGCTAAAAATCTATGACCTGAGGTTATGGAAGTCGAAGAAGAAGGAAAGCCAAGAATCTATGACCTGAGGTTATGGAAGTCGAAGCACAGCCATCTTTATGCTCGCAGTCATGGTGGCTCGAGCTTCATCGAGCTCCCAGTCATGGCCGCTCGAGTTTCTTTGAGCTCGGACGTGGCCGCTCCAGCTTTCAGGCTGCTTGAAGCTTGTGGCTGCGGCACTCGAGCTTCGTGGAAATCGGCCTTGAGGACGGGTACAAGGAGCACGCAGCAATGGGGGGAGCAGGGGATGCGAGAGGTTGGTGAAGCAAATTGTGGAGTCGGGCAACGATGGTGGTGGATGGATTCGGGCGATCCAGAACCAAGGAAGAACATGCTGGAGCTGCAAATGCCTAGTCAGCGAATCTCTCTTCAAAAAATAATAAAAAATTTCACCTCATGTTTTTTTTTCGGTTATCCAAATGGGACCAGATAAACCGAACTGAAGGAATAACAGTACAATCTGACAAGATAGTACCATGCTGGAACTTTATTGCAGATTTCTTGCTTTGCTGGGCTGGCCTGTTCTTTTTAAATGTCCAAAAAAACAAGAAAAACGCCACTATGGTGTTCTATTATTGTTGTGCGGACACCGTTAACTTCTTACCATGTTCAACTGCAGTCCCTGATGATCGCTGCAGTCCCTAACGTTATAGGATGGCTGGCAATATCATTTGCCAAGGTGGGTGATCATCATAGTAAGATAAATCACGAAATTTAGCAAAGCTGCGTCCTTATGCATTCCTTGGCTTCTTCTGCAGGATTCCCTTTTCTTATACATTGGAAGGTTGTTGGGGGGGTTTGGTGTGGGTGTTATTTCTTATGTGGTAATCTTTGGCTCTTTCCTGTTAAACGCTTTGCACTTGCGTTGGCGGCGGTGCGACAGATCTAAATTTTGGCCCATTTCTTGGTATCAATAGGTGCCGGTATATATAGCTGAGATATCGCCTCAGAACATGAGAGGAACCCTGGGATCTGTGAATCAGGTCAATATGACTACCACTTTCAGTCGTCGTCGTCTGCTTGATGTGATACATTTTTTTGAGGCCCAATTCCCTAAAAAACCCCCAACTTTACCCTTTGTCCTAATTATATCCCAAACTTTTTTTTATCTTATAAAAAACCTCAAACTTTTACTTTTGTCCCAAATCTACCCAATTCATTTTTCGTCCAATTTTTTAATATTATTTTTTATTTTTTCGAATTTTTTTATTTTTTCTTTTCTTTTCTTTTTCCTTTCCTTTTCTTTTTTTTTTTTTGTTTCACCTTCTGGCCGGTCGCCGGCCGCTGGCGAGGCTTGGCCCCGCTGGCCGCCGGGCGAGGCCGACTCGCCAATAGCCGGCGGGGCCGACCTCGCCAATAGCTCGGGGCCGAGCCTCGCCGTGGCCGGGCGAGGCTCGGCTCGCCGGCCGGCCGGTGAGGCTCGACCCCGCCGGCCGCCGGTGAGGCTCGGCCTCGCCGCAGCCGGGCGAGGCCGACCTCGCCGCTTGTCGGCGGGCCGACCTCGCCAATAGCCGGCGAGTTTCGGCCTCGCAATGCCGGTGTGGCCGAGTTCTCGCCAGATCGGCGAGGCTCGGCCCCGCCTAAGAACCGGGCGAGGTCGGCCTCACCTGAAGAATGGCGAGGTTCGCCTCGGCCGACCTCACCGTCTGCCGGGCGAGGCCGACTCGCCGTTCTACGGGCCAAGCCTCGCCAGATCTCGGTGAGAACTCGGCCACGCCGGGCCGCGGCGAGGCCGACCTCGCCAATAGCCGGCGGGGCCGAGCCTCGCCGTGGCCGGGCGAGGTCGGCCCCGCCGGAACCGGCGAGGTCGGCCTCGCCGAAGAACGGCGAGGCCGAGCCTTGCCCGCCCACGGCGAGGCTCGACCTCGCCCAACGTCGGCGGGATCGAGCCTCGCCGCCCACGGCGAGGCTCGGCTCGCCCAACGCCGGCGAGGCCGAGCCTCGCCCCCGCCGGCCCTCGCCTCTGGCCGGTCGCCGGTCCGGCGACCGGCCCAAAGGTGAAACAAAAAAAAAAGAAAAGAAAAGAAAAAATAAAAAAAAATCGAAAAAATAAAATTAAAAAATTGGACGAAAAGTGAATTGGGTAGATTTGGGACAAAAGTAAAAGTTTGAGGTTTTTTATAAGACAAAAAAAAGTTTGGGATATAATTGGAACAAAGGGTAAAGTTTGGGATTTTTTAGGGAATTGGGCCCTTTTTTTGAATAATTTTGAAGTTTTCTTTTTTCTTTTAGTAGCTCTCGGTTACAATGGGAGTTTTGTTGGCTTACCTTTTTGGACTATTTGTCAGCTGGAGGATCCTTGCTATCTTGGGTAAGTGCACGACAAGAAAATCATCTATTGGAAGAGAAGTATATGAGCACATGTGATGCTGGATGCATTTTTCTGTCACACTTACTAGACTTCCAACATAAAAAAGCTTTTTTTTTGGCTAACAACATAAAATGCTTTTGGACATCTGCAATGCCCCACTCATGTGCGAATTATATTGTACAACAGGCCAATTTTTTTTGACAAATGATGGAGTTTCTTTTATAAGTTCATCGGCCAAGTACACTCATCAGTTCTCTGATGCCATTAATTTGTGACGCTCAACTCTCTCATTTCTGCTTATTCTTTGATATTGATTTTAAACATCTATTGCAGGTTCTCTGCCATGTCTAATATTGATTCTTGGCTTATTTTTCATTCCAGAGTCTCCTCGATGGTTGGTATGAAATCTTATATGGTCTTTTCTGTACTTAATTCGTTGTTTAAACCCACCTTCTTATTAACTTCCTGCTCTCATTTCTCCATTCAATGTTTTCTTATGTTTCTCTTCTGCTTTATGTTCTTTGGAATGGAAAATGCTGCAGGCCAAAATGGGTTTGACCAAGGAATTTGTAGCCTCTTTGCAGGTCCTACGGGGATTTGACACTGATATTTCCCTTGAAGTTGATGAGATCAAGGTATTGAAAAGCTTTCCCAACTTGAATGCTGTGATATAACAATTATGTGCCATACAGGCAGTTCATTGAGCCTTTTCTAGTGCAAAAGAACTTGAGATAGTTGGCTAATTATGATGGATCTACTTGTGTTTCCACTCCTCTTTTTATAAAGTAGAATCAATTGTAACAAATTGTATGCTTCACGTAGAGTTCTGTTGCATCAACAAACAAAACAACTATCGGGTTTGGAGAGCTCAAGCAGAAAAGATATTGGTTTCCGTTAATGGTAAATGTTTTACTTGAATATATCTTTAATATTATTATCTCATGACATATTGTCCTTTTTTGTGTCACATATATGTGTTGCAGGTAGGTATTGGACTGCTTATGCTCCGGCAACTGAGTGGCATCAATGGTGTTTTATTCTATGCCACAACAATATTTGAAAGTGCAGGTGGCTACTAATTATGTTGCATTGCATCGTATATTTCACTTTATTAGAGTGAAGAAGTGAATTTATTAGAACCTGCAACTTCTAAACCTTTCTCTTTCCGAAAACTAAGCATTATGCTCTTCACCCCAGAAAGATTTCAATTGTCTGTACCTTTTTCTAATTGAGGACCTAGAAGTCACATGATGTTAGGTTTATTTAAATAGATGAGTGTTTGAATGTTCTCTTTTGCTATTTCAATAGACTTGAAAAGAGGACTATCAATTGAAGTTGGAGAAAATTGGAATGTCCTAAACTTGAGCTATGCAAGAATTTTGACAGAAATGATTGATTTTAATTACCGACAGTTCAACACATTAGCCTGTTTCATTCCCTAGAGGATAGTACTGGCATATTCTCCATGCCTGCCAAAAACAAGAAAGTTCTCTTTTAGATTCTGCTTAAGTCAGGATGAGCAAAGGCATACTTATACTTGCTGTTATTCTGATAGCATCTGTTGACTGATCCAACCCATTTGGAGCTTCTCTTGATTCATTTTGGTCTTTTATTGACGTGCATTGATTTTCACTAGGGATTTCTTCAAGTGATGTTGCGACTGTCGGAGTCGGTGCTATCCAGGTAAATTGGCAATTCTCTGGTCTTCTGCAGCAGTTCAACAATGCAAAAAACTTGATCCAATCTGAGGTGTAAGGATCTTTCATGCTGTAGGTTCTCGCCACTACGGCTACCACTTGGCTCCCAGATAAAGCAGGCCGACGGCTGCTTCTAATTGTACGCATGACTAGATCCTCACTAAAGTTAAGATCCTCTGAAACATGCTCAAATTGGGTATTGAAATCGTTTTTGCAGGTATCCTCGTCCACAATGACTCTGAGCCTTCTTCTTGTGGCTGTAGCGTTCTATATGGAGGTGAGTAATGCTGTTACTAGAACCCTTTCGGTTCTGAGACAATGGCTGCTTTTTGAGGCATTGTTCTTGCATATTCCAGGGTTCTGCTTCAGAAGACTCTAAATTATACAGCGTAATGGGAATATTGTCGGTGGTTGGGCTTGTGGTATGACAATTTATATTCACTGTTTGTACTTTTTCATGTGCTTAATAAGTTTAAGGGTATGTTTTGAGCGTCATTATACCCAGGCTTTTGTGGTTGCCTTCGCTCTGGGAATGGGATCGGTTCCATGGGTTATCATGTCTGAGGTAAGCACAATTCACTTATTTTGCACTGATTGCAAGAGTACAGAATTCTCCTCCAGGTTGTACGCTTGAGTGAAGGTTTCTCAATGGTCATGGGTCCTCGTCTTCTTTTTGCATGTCAGATTCTTCCGGCAAACATTAAGGGCCTCGCCGGCAGCATGGCAACGTTGGCCAACTGGATGACAACGTGGATAATCACGGTGACGGCAAACTCATTGTTGGATTGGAGCGCCGGAGGTTCTCTCTCCCTCTCCCCCTCTCCCCTGCAACTCGCTCTCTCATGCCTAACACTTATTGCTGACTGACATGGCGTTTGCAATTTTCGACAGGTACCTTCACAATCTACACAGTTGTGGCAGCTTGTACTGTTGTCTTTGTGATACTCTTTGTTCCAGAAACTAAGGGAAGAACTCTGGAAGAGATTCAGCTGTCGTTTTAGACGATTCTTGCCTCCTGTTGTCGCATTTATTTTTGCTGTTAATTAACATGTTGAGAGAGAGAGAGAGAGAGAACTCTGGCTCGGAATTATTCATTTCACAGCCTCGACTGAAAACTCGAGAAAAAGACATTATCCATAAGGAATAAGAGTTTCGTATCATCCATTTGACGTAAAGACGATGTTAAACATTTTATACCAATTCATTGAAAGTATACAAAAGATACATGACACATTGATAAAAAATTTAGGAACTTAATTTAAAATAGTTGAAAGTTTGGAGACGACTTCACACATATTGACAAAATTTAAGCAGGACTCTCATTGTCCCTTGGATATTGGAGAACTTTATTACTCTTGTTTGGATGATTTGCTCGCCTCACCCTATCACAATAAGAGTTTTGATTTATCATTTCTATTAGATGAGACATTTGATATTCCATTATGTACTTCGAGTCAAGCTACCCTTAGGTACATATCATTAGTTGCATTAGGTGTAGCTTAAAAGACGAACATGGGATTTTAAATCAGGTGAGTCTCCTATGAAATACACCGCATCGAAGTTCAAATGTATTGAGAGTGCGCATAAGTTCTAACAACCTAGGGCTCGATTTAAAGTTTGTGTTTTCTTGGGAAATTGAGCCACAAAAGGTAGGATTGTCCTTACTACTTTATTTTACAATAGGGTAATGTTTTTTTTTAAAAGTCAAAGTAGGATCTTATTTTAATTCATTATTATCTTATACCATATAGGGTGTAATAAATGAGTTTCTCAAAATACTGGTTAAACTAATGTTGTTTTTTTTTTAAATAGAAAAATTATTTGACACCAAGAAAAAAATACATTGAGTTTTAAAAGATTGTTCAATGTTCTAAAATGACTTTACATATTTACATTTGTATTTTCTAGACGTTTCATATGTTAGGCGTTAAATTAACCTCAATACAAATGTTAAAAGAGGATGATTTGAAAAGGAATGACAAATACAATTCATTTTAGACATAAGTTCTAGTCCCACGCTTCATCTTCCAAAAACTTGAAATCTCTGCTGATGATTACCTTTTCAGTGACTGGGCTACATAGCTTACAACATTTAGTTGGGTTATTGTAACCAATGAAGATGTACTTCTTGCTTTTGTCATCCAACTTCTTCCTCCATTCTCCTCGTACCAAATGTTGGAACTAAAAGGGCAAAAGAACACTACAAGTGCCATAACTTGTGTACGGCGCTCACTTTGATGCCATAGGTTTTTTTTTTATCACTTTAGTGCTAAAATTTTTTAAAAACGATCACTTAAGTGCTAAAATTTTTGAAAAACGATCACTTAAGTGCCAACTTCGGTGCTGTACATAATTTTTCGCCGGAAATCTGTAACGTCCCGAAATTCGACTCACTTTCGTGATCAATGAAATTGATGTATTTCTCATTTCATTTTAGTAAGTCTCGCCTGGAACTGATCATTCTCAGGATACTGACCAATAGGGAATGGCTAACTAGGAAAACAGTACGTGGATCGAAGAACTCGACCGCGAATAGAGTCCAATTCCAAGAAACGACGAGGGAATATTTTGTGCCAATGTGGGCCGATCCAAGGAGAGTGACGGATATGATTTGGCCAACGACGTACGATCGGATCTCGAGTGATTCCGCACGACCGAGAGTAAGCGTGGCGAACAATCCCGAACTTAATCCGAATGATCGCGACCCCCGGAACTAGCGATAAATTCTCGTGTTCTCTTGGAAGTTGAGACCATCACGACTCGGGTAACCCTAAGTCGATACGCGTAACCCCTAAACAGCCGCCCGTTAGTGAGAGACGCTAAAATCGCATTTGAGCGAAATTGATAGTGGAATTGAGTCGGGACTTCGGTGTCGAATTTCATGGACGTACGCGACTATTTTGCACGGACGACGTCGTGTTACTGTGGTCAATTATATTTGGGATCGGTATAATCAGAAAATGAAATTTGGACCGGGTGCGAATTTTGACTAGTTGACCTCCCTCTGGGTTTATTTTATTTAGTGTCTATCTAGTATTTTCTTTGACTTTGAAATTCGGAATTTTCGTGGCCCTTGGATCTAGCTTGCCCAACAAGACCAATTGTGAGCCCTTGGATTGCACGTGATTGATATGTTGACTTTGGTCTCTCTCCTCTCTCTCTCTCTTCTCCTTCTCCCCCACGTCGCCGCTGCCCACGCCGCTGACTCCCTACTCTTTCCCCGCCGATCCCCCACGTTGTTGACTCTTTTTCTGCTGACTTCCTCTCCTTCACGTGCGGCTTCTTCCTCTGCATTATTTCTGCTACTGCCATGCCGCTGTTCTGCTGATTGCTTCTGCCTTGGCTTTGTTGACCGCTGACTTCCTCTCCCTCACGTGCCGCTGCTTCTGCCTTTTTGCTGCTGCTGCTGACTTCTTCCACCAACTCCACTAGCCATCATCACCCCCCCCCACGCCTCTGCTGAACCCATGCCGTTTCTGCTTCAGTCTATTGACTTCTGCCTTTGCTGATCACGTTGCTGTTCTGCTGACTTCCTCTCTTCCTTCACGCCCGCTGACTCCCTCACGTTGCTTCTGTTCTTGCTGCACCTTCACGTGTGCTTTGCTGACCATTGACCCATGCTATCCCATGCTGCTTCACGTGCCGCTTCTGCCTCTGCATTGCCGTTGCTGCTGCTTCTTCCACTTCTACTTCTTCTCTTC